CAAATCCAGTGTAGAGCAACAAAGATTCAAGAGGAACTGAGCTGTACTTTCCATGCTCTTACCTTCCTTCCAAAAAACATTTTAGCTATCTCAGTACCAAGAATCTCTTTTAATTAAACAGAAGAGAACAGGACAAGATACGAGCTGAAGCTCAAAGGAAAAGGATATAGAAACAAATTATGAGAGAGGGGAGAAATGAATTTGGAAAGCTGGAAAAGCCTAGATAAGGTAAGTTTAAGTGAAATGTGGTTTTATTCTGTATTTCTACCATGTGCCTAATGCCTAAGAAACCAAACTAACAGCTGCTTATAAGATTGCTGATGCATAGTCCTTTTGGCTCTTAAAGTCAGAGAGACGGTTAAGAACAGCATAGAGTACAGAAGGATTTTGTCTAAGAGCACAATCAACATCATGCTGCATATACCCTATTGTCTTCAGAACAGCTAAATGCCATAACTAAATCATAATCCGGGCAGACCATGGACTCCATTGGAAAAATAACTTCTATAACTCCAAAGTAAGGATCTAGACTATTTCCTGGGGCCACTACAGGATGCCTAGAAACATAATTTCTAAAACTTTAGAAGCATTTCTAACTCATCTCAGTGGTCATGCTACTCAAAAAGATCTTTTGCAAGTTTACAATAGTGATTGATATCCATTTGTGCTTACTTCCATACATCTTTGCCTTAGCACCTAGAGGAAAACAATTCCTTCTCTACCCATAACTTTAAGCCACAGCAAAACCATAATACTTTCTGCTACCGCATCCATAGTTTTAAAGCAAACTGAGTAGAACGGCTTATAGCAAGTTTATTTCTCTGAAAAAAAAATGAATATACTTTCCAGCAATAAAAAATAATTTGTGTTCAATCAAAAAACTTGGTTCATATGTACAAAACTCAGTTAAAAATTAAGGGTGGGTAATTTATATATTTTTTCAAAGTTTTCTTTCTTCAAGTAAGTATTAGAGAAGGGGAAAACAGATGCATGAACCAAAAGTGATTGAACAAGTGATATCTACAAATTCTAATGAACTTTTGCCACTGTTAGCTGGGCCTCAACCAGTTTTCATTTATACTATTCAAACTTAGGAAATACAAACTATACATACATGTTATTATTTGTTCTCTTCTACAACACTTAGCAATGGAAAGCCTCCTTATGAAGATAAGATGAATTCTACAGAAAACGTATTAATTGATGTAACAGCAGTGGATATAATTTACAGCCAGAGACATATGTTAATGTAAAATAAGCAGTTTTTCATGGTGCTTTCTATGCTTAATTACTCCTCACTAAAACAAAGCAGTCACACAAACATTTGCTTTACACATCTATGTGCAGAAAAGATTCTGGCAGAAATTTCTTAGACCTCTTGTCCTCAAGAGCCTCACACCTGAAATTCTGAAATGAGAGAGCTCAAGAGTCAAAATAATAACAAAAAATGAGGATGAATTTTATCAGAAAGAAATAAGAATAAATACTAATTGTTTGTTTTACCTTTCTAAACTGGTACCAGCATAACCTCGGTTGTATCTGTCATGATCCATTAACATGGTTACTATAAAATGTTCCCAATCTCTCTAGGCCTTTCTAATTCAGACAAGACCTGACAGTGCTGTTTTTTCTATATGACCCAGATGAAATCTTTCAACAGTCCCTGGAACCCTCATTTTCTCCTTAAATCCTGTTGTTGAATTATTAAGGAGAAGAGATGTTATGAATGGTCCTATGGAAACTGGTAGGTGGATTAAGAGTCTTCCAGCAATTGACGCCCACCAGAAACATCAGGCTATTTTTTTCCCTTCCCTACACTATTTAACCAGTAAAGTAGAGTGGAAAAGGCTAACATAGAAATGAGAAGATGCAAACAGCAAAGAGCTATTCTAAGCCTTTTAAGAATTCTTTTTACTGATTATTGCTACTTAAGTCTGGAAAATATTTTGGAATATGTCTTATGTATAGGAATGCATAAAAGATAACACCTTGCAAAAGGGAAAACATACAGGTTTAATAATGTGCAACTAATGAAGAAGGTTTATAAATGAAATACCACCTACCCTAAATATATTATGCTCTGAGCCATTAAAGTTAAACCTAAAAATAAAAATTTTCCATCTGTGGGAAAGTAATCTGTTTTTAAATTAAAAAGAAATCATTACTTCTTAAAAATAAAACTATCAAGATATAATTCAAGTAGCTGTTCATAGTCACTGAAAGTTCAAATTTGATAACAAAACATTTAAGTTTCAACCAATGCACCCTTGTTGAAGCATATTTAGCTGAAATAACTTTGAGTCTGGTTTATTTCCATCACATATAGTACATTTTTCCAACAAGAGCATGTACATTCAATATAGAACATTTCCAGCAACAATTACAGTCTTTCTAATTTCCTTTCACAGTATATTTTAGTGCAAAGCACTAAGAGGGTAAATGTTTTTCTAGCTATAGAGCATTTTATTATGACCTTGTGAATCTCCAACATTTTAAAATTTTATACAAAAAGTATATTGGTGGACAGGGTCCCTTCTAAGTACAGGTGTAAACCTATATAAAAACATGGTATATTTTCTGCTGTACCCTTTAAAATTATAATTTGACACAAATTACTAAAAAATAAAATATTCCCTAAGAAGTACAAAATATTGATACACAAAAACCTGCCCAAAATTTCATAAAGATAGATGTACTTCTGTTTTTTCTAAAATCTTGATTACAAAAATGGACAAGAATTCATTATTCTCTAAATTTTACAGTAGAAATCAAATAATAGCTAAAGTGGTCATTTTAAATTTTTCTTGGGAGGGAAAAAAAAAAATCAGGGTTTACACCCCCATCTTCCTTTTTAGCAATGTTTAAAGAAATAAACTAGTATCATAGAAGTGGTTGTGCATGGATTGTCTGCATCCATAAAACATCAGGAAGCTATTTACTACCTTCATATTAACATTAGTAAATGTGTGGTATTTAAAAAAATAGAAACTGAAAAATAAGGTTTCATCTATCATTAAAGTGCTTTATATAAAATTTAAATAGGGGAATGTTTAATTTTCATAAAAACCTCAGATGTTTAAATGAAAAATGTGATGATCCATGCATGAAAATGAGCTGGAACTTTCTGAAGTATATAATTTAGAAAAAAACTTCAAACATTCAAGTACTAGAAAACAATTTAGAAATAAATGGATGTGAAAATGATTACAAATATTTAGTAGGCTAAATATTTATAATGTGCTGACACTAAGTTGTCTTTTGTTCCTAATATACACTTTCTAGAAAATCATATCTGTACAATCTAGAAAAAAAATTGCCAAATACAACGAAACAAAACTAAAATCACTAAGATATAAAATCTCTGTCAATTAAAAACCAATGTTTTTTTCAGGATGTTGATCACTTTAGTCAACAAATTATGTGGAAAACAAAAATTTGCAACATTTTTGTAGAAACTGTAGACCAAATTCACAAGGTCAAGGTGGTTAGCTGATGGACTGTGATGACGGTATGTAATGTCATAGCTACTTGAAAGTGATGCAATAGGCATTGCCTTAGAAATAAGTAGTTAGATGGCTATTATTTTAGTCAGAAAACAGAATTACAGTCGAAATTTTATGAAAATGTTTTTCTCTTGTTTTTTTCCTCATAGTACCATGTGAAGACGTAAGTGGTTCTAACACCAATTTAAAGTCTTTCCACAAAAATGAACTCCAAACCTTTTCGTACATCACTTGAAGTTATCTGAGGAGAAATGGGAATAAATGAACACTTTTGAGTTTACCAATAAAATTTTGGTCTTAAAATTACACAACAGTAAATGACTTCTAAAGGATGGTTTCATCTCAAGTTTTGCACACATCTTTTTTTTTTTTAATGTGATAATCAAACCACAATTTAACCTACTCAGCACTCAAACTAAGTATTTTGCTTTAGAACCTGAATTTAATATCTGAAGCTAATTTAATACTTACTAAATACATCAAATGCCTTATTATGAGGGACAGAGGTAATTGAAAGTAAGCTATAAAAATATATAGACTTGTAAAAAACAAGTATAGGAAGTCTAGTCCTTATTGTACACTGCATTTTTAAAACCTACTTTTGTTCAAAACCTTCTTTAAAAAGTAATGTTTTTCTTTCTTCCAAACAGGGATTTTGCTTTTCTTGCAATGCATAACCACCACCACCAAAAAAAAAAGAATGATAGAAAAATCCCTATTTAATAATGAACTATGTCAATATTATCACCAAAAAGTTTATTAAACAGAAAGGGAAAAATAAAGAGAATATGAACCTAAATATCATCTTTTTCTATGAATTAAAACTAAAAAGCATTCACTAACACGCACTCCCACGGAAAAGGAAAAATATCCAAACTTTTGTTTCCCAACTTTCCCTCTTTGCCTGGAAGCACTGTGGTTAAGTAAATAATAAATGCTAATCATTCTAAATTCAATTTGGGGATTTTTTTTTCTGAGTGCAGCACTTTATTTAGCCGTCACAGATTAATTTTTACAATAATTACAGTGCCTCAAAAGATTATTTCCTATAATTCTCACCTTCATAAATGCATTCTAATATATTTAACTTTCCTACATTAATTAGTAGACTAAGTCACTGAATCAAATTAAACCTGTGCAAAGTTAGTTAAACAGAAGACTTCTATTGTAAACATAAGTCAAAATAAATGTATATATTTTACAACATTAAAAAGCAAAGCACTGACCCTGTGCCATCTATCTATAACTACATTGCATTGTCCTGTGGAAGGTAAGTTCTGAAGTAAACTTTTGTTCCCAAGACACTGGAATAAAGGTCACTGAAGAGGTAAATGCAATATGCACATCACTCTTGCAGTTCCCACTGCCATAAGGTATATATGGAAGCAAATACATGTTAAAATGGAACCAGCTATAAATTATGGTCAAATGATTTTTTTTTTTTTTTTTTTAAGTTCGATGGGGGGAAAAAAGCAAAACTCTGTAACTGTTCCTCACCAGACAAGAGCCTTAGATCTTGTACTTCGGCCTTTGGTTTTGTTTCCTTCAGGTGAATTGGAAGCATTTGCCTTATGAGTTTTCTTATGATGTTCAAGGTAAGTCTTTTTGGCAAATGCCTTTCCACACTTATTGCATCTGTGAAGAGAAAAGTTTTTTGTGACTTTTACTTCAATACCGACGTCAGCTACTTCATATTTTTTACTAGGAGAATTAGAAGTGCCATCATGTTTTGAATCACTATGTTTTGCTTCATCCCTCGAAGGGCCTCTTTTTGCCACTTTATTTAGAACAAAATCAATAGGCTTTTTTATAGCTCTGATCTCTAAACTGGCTGTTATTTTCCCAAGATAGCGAGATGACTTTTTATGAACCACAGTTATGTGTCGTATCACATCACGTTTCCGACGAGTTTCGTAAGTGCAAAGAGGACACTTGTAAAATTTAACATAAATGTTATTTCCATCTGTGTGCAACTCGATGTGTTTAGTCAAGTTCTGTTTGGAAGTAAACTGACGTTTACAAAGTTTACAGTAAAGCTGCTTAAAGTCAAAGCCAGCTGAAAGTTTTGGTTTCCTAGTTTTTTGCTGGCCACCTGCAGCCGAGGGACTAGTTGATTTAGGGCTTTCAGCATCTTGTTTAACTTTATTTTTCTGTGCTGCCGGTGTGTTCTTTTTTTCATTTGAATGATTTGTTCCCTTTAATTCATTCTGCGGAGAATGGGTAATGGAAGGGGGTGAAGATTCTACAGAATCTGCTGGTTCAACTTTAACTTTTATTTCTGAACTGTTGGCAGTATTATTAGGGCCTTTCTCTCTTTTAGAGTTTGTTCCCGAAAGAGTTATCTTGTGGACAATTTGCATATGTCTTTTAAGCATTATTTGTGAACTATATTTCCTCTTGCAAAGGAGGCATTTGCATGCAGTTAAATTGTATTCAGCCTTTGAAGACGACTTTTGTTTTCGAGTCTTAAAAGATTTTTTAGGAGAAACAGAATCCAAGAACAAAGGTTGCCCGGGCTTTGTTGCTATATCTGGAGTAATTGAATCCCTCCTTAGTCCTCTATGAACTTCATCAAAATGCCTCCTTACATTCGCTTTTGTAGCAAATGATTTACAACATACTGGACAACTCCTACTTAATGAAACTAGAACATTCTTACTGCGTCCTTTAGAGGATTGGTTTGGATTCTTTCGTGTTTCAATGTACTTTTTCAATTCTTCCATCTTTTTCTTGTGCACTTTTCGAATGTGGCGGCGAACACCTCGTCTAGAATTGAATTCTTTTCTACAAAGACAACATATCAACTGGTGACCAAAATCAGAATTGTCAGACGTTTCCAAGTCAGCCTGTGATTCCTGGGGTTGTTCATCAGATGTAGGTACAACATCATCTGCAACAATCTCAACAGGAGGGGTCTCTACAGTTTCCTCCTCTGTGTCAGTAACTGGTACTGTTTTAGATTGCTCAGTGCTAGCTTCCTGTATTTGAACTTCAGTTTGTTCAGGAGTACTGCTTGACTCTGTGACTTCAGCAGGATTATCAGTTCTTGAAATATATTGAAACACTGCATTCTGATTTGTTTCTATGGGTTCTAGCTTAATAATATATTCTCGCTTGTCCACGCTTGGATATATGGCTTCTAGGAGATCATTTATGGCTTGGCTTTGTTTATCATTTACATCAGGAAGGTCTGTTAAGGAAAAATCAACATTTTAATCTGAAATAATTGGCCTGCTCTAATATTTTAAAATATACTATAAAACTCTACCTTAAAATTTACTTTATTGCTCAAATTTACTTTTTAAGAGCATTACCTATTTTTCAGTATTTTATGGATATAAAAACTAGTATTAGCTAAACTAAAATTTTCTTAATTTTAATTTTCATCATGGTGTACAATGTTAAAGATAAATGTAATCTGAGGTGTTATTTCTGCTTCTAAGTGCCCTTATTATAAAATATATAAATATATGGATAATCTAAAAAATAAAAATAGTATCACATATTTTAGTCTGAAAGTTTTAGACTAGCAAAGACAAAGTTCTCATGACCCAGGATGGATAAAATAACACAACAAAGGCTAGGGTTGTAGCTCAGTGGTAGAGCACTTGCCTAGCATGTGTGAGGCACTGAGTTTAATTCTCAACACCACATATAATTAAAAAAAGGTCCATCAACAACTAAAAAATATTGCTCTTTATTTCCAATGTTCTCATTCACTTAACAGGAATCTGTAACTAAGTGATCATCCAATATGGTAACAAATGTTAAAGTAAAAAGAAAAAAAACACCAATAAATTTTTCCTTTCAATCCTAACATAAATATCCTAACATCTTAATATCAACTTATAAATAAATATTCTGAATATAAAACTATAAAGCCATTCAAAATATCCAATATTTTAATACAAATAAGTATACTCATAAATCTAACTTCTATGATATCTAGAAAAACCCAAGTGGAAAGCATTGATATCAAAGTATTTATCTGAGAAATCAAATATAACATTGAGTCATAGATTCAATTTTATTCTCCATCATTAAATCATCTATAATTAAATATCAATACCATTTTAATACAAAAGTATAGTGGCAGTCTAAAAATACAACTGCAAAATGCATAACTGAATATATGAATAAAACTTACTATCATCCATCTGGAGACTTGGTGGGCAGTAGAATTTCTTATGGGTAATTAAATTTGGTAATCCTCTGAAGAGACTGCGGCATAATTTACATTCAAAAATAGTGTCCACATCTTTCAATAAAATATGCTTAAGTTGTTTAGTTCCTAGGGGGAGAAAAAAGGGAAAATTTAACACAAAAGTTCACTTTACATGCACTTTTAAACTAGGCCACCACTGTTGACAATCCCAAAGTATAGTTACTCCTTGAAAACAAAATATTGGCACTTTTAACTTCTACCACAGCATATTTATAAATAAGTTATAAAACTAAGTTTTAAGCAAAATCCTAGTATCGTTTGGAAATCTGGACAGCTAAGATGGATACTCTTTTTCTACTTCAGCAGTCAATCAATTCTTGGGATATCCCAAGACTATCGTCCTGACATCTGGTTGATCATTATAATGAGCTGCGGAAAAAAACGCATGCAACCCTTCCCTAGATATTCTGATTATACAGGTCTGGAGTAGGGCAGGAAAATGTTCCCCATCACTTCCTGCTAAACTTTTTTGCTGGTTCTTTCAGCCTTTTCTGAACTAGAAAGTGAACAAGGAGTTTTTCAATTCCCAGTTCCCTAAAGAAGGTCAAAACTTCATTTCAGGGCTGCCTGAAAACTTTTCTTTTAAAATTCAGTTTATATTATTTCAGGCTCTAGACCAACATGGGATTATGGTTATTTTGTGTGACAGTACAGAATCTCTATCCATACTGAAATAGAATTTTCAATTTGTGCTTAGTTCTCTTGATAGTACTTAAATCTATTCAAAGATTTTCTCTCTCAGAACTCTAACCAATTGTAATTAACTAATTATCAATATAATTACCAGTTCAATGTCTGTCTTTTACACTTAATTATAAACCCTGAAAACAGCCAAGAGCAAGTCTATCATATTTATAACTACAACGTATTCATTTCTAATAATACTCAATATGTATTTGTTGAAGAAATGCTACTGATCTGTGATAGCTAAGCATTATGATGGAAGATCAAAGGCATAAGGGGAAAAAAAACATGGTAATGAGCATCCAATCTTTTTGGGGGGGTGAGAGATTTCAGGGATTGAACTCAGGGGCACTCGACCACTGAGCCACATCCTCAGCCCTACTTTGTATTTTATTTAGAAACAGAGTCTCACTGAGTTGCTTAGTGCCCCACTTTTGCTGAGGCTGGCTTTGAACAAGATCCTCCTGCCTCGGCCTCCCACGCTACTGGGATTATAGGCATGCGCTACTGTGCATGACCACATCCAGTCTTTAAAATAAAAATATCCTCTAGGAATAAAACACAAATGAAGTAACCTTTTGTTGCTACTTCTTACAAGTCTTTGCTGCAGGTAAGATGACAAAAAATGATCTCCAGTCAAAACTGTTTTCCAGTCCTCTACTAAATAAATGTGCCTTCAGTTTCATTAAATAGAGAAAATAATGGTAATACTGATTTCATTTTATCACTCAATATTTACAAAGCTCACTGAAAAATACCGTTAAGACCCATCTAGGTGCAAGGTGTTCTGTCATTGAACAAGAATTTGACTATCTATTAAGTTCTAGGACTACTGAAGAATATAAACTATCTTAGTATTATTAATATTATAGGGTCTATAAAAGTTAAATATTTCTGATTTAATCTTTTGTAACCTATTCACATTTAATTTTTAAAATGTATTTTATAATCATTTTGAAAATGATGATCAGCCCTCAAAATTCTATGGCAAAGAAGATTGATTATGAAGTTATCAGAACATTACTAAGTCTTAAGACATTCCAAATCTGATATTATCTAGTTATAAGACCTTAAAAATATAATTTTTGCACTTTGTTTACCCATCTTGTAAAATAGAACAAATGAAACCAAACCTATCTTGAAGAATTAAAAAAATAATACAAACTTAAGCAATTAAATTACATACATGAGTTTCTACTGGAAAAAAAAAATAATTTCCACCATTTCCCAAATCCAAATCTATTACTATTTCACTAGACTCTATCAGCACAAAACTTGAAAACAAATTTTAAAGATTAAGAGAAAAGTGTGCACATTATTTATATGAAAGTAAATTCTCATGTTTATATTCTCTTGTCCATTTCACAATAAGAGTTAATGTTTAGTTTTTTTACTAGTTAACCCCACAAGTGATTAATAAACTATGAGAAGTGGACAAGGATAAAAATGCCTTGGCTCTCTGAGCCTAAGCCTCTCTAATTGTTCTACATGTAGTTATTAAAAAAAAAAAAACAAAAGTAGCTAAGTTCCACTGGAAGAAAAAAAGAAAAATTCTGTATACTAATTCTAAATTAAAAGACCTGCAAGAGCCATACCATAGATGGTCAAAAAAAAAGACTGAAGAGGAACACAGAAATAACATTAACTAGATTTTAACTTAATTCAATAGAAGATTTAACTGGAAAGTACATAGTAACAGATTTAAAACCATAAAATAATCAGTTTGTAAACAACATTAGGTTATACATACACAGGTGTAAAAATGTAAGATTATCCCTAAATCAGACATATCACTTAGTCTGCCAGGTTCTCTCAATCACAGAAAAATAAAAACATTATCAGTTTCTTAAATAGTCCTAGTAGATATATCAGTAGAGAATATGTATTTATTCCCAATAAACATGCAAAAAAGTATCTGCCTCTAATTTTACACATCAATCTTAATTATCAATTACAAAGGCTCCCCCCAATACACACACACACACACACACACACACACACACGCTGATGCGCACACAGAGATACTGCTGACATAGGCATATCAAATTTCTTTCAGGTTCATAGATACACCAAATGTTCTTTTTCTCCCTCGCTTTTCAGGCCTTCACCTACATTTTTTTTCTCTCCAACCTAACATTCTCCTACTTCTCTAGTCTGGTTCATTTCCAGTAATCCTTTGGATCCCAGGTCAAATGTTATTTCCTTCAGGAAGTCTTCTCTGACCCCTCTATTTTTGTTAATAATTCATTCATCTGTACTCCTATAGCAACTTATATATCTATATAAACTTATCCCACCATCTTGTAATTAATCACTTTTAGGTATTCCCATTAAATTAGAAGTTCTAGAAGAACACAAAAGGCAACTTTGATCCTCACCACTGTATTCCCAGTCCTCAGGATAATAATGTCTGATTGGCATTGTCAAGTGACAATGGAGAACTCTGTTTAGGAATACCTTCTTTTTTAAATCTGTGAAATTCATTGAGGTATCAAAGGGTGGGGGCTTAAAGATGATATCTTACACATTTTACAAATGTGAAAAATAAGATGTGTCTTATTCCCTTAATATAGACAATAAATTTTTTTCCTAAGTTAGTTTCAATCACCATTAAAGTGTCATGCTATTCCAAGGTAGGAATAATGACTTTAGTCACAATCAGTTACCATTTTCTGATTGCTTTTCTCACAATTACTCATAGCCAACCAACTATACCTCTGACAATAGCCAAAACTCCCTGACACCTGCAATAACAACAGACATAGTCATATAGACAGCAACAAAAAATTTTTCCATGTCTCTTGATCCTAGAACATAAACAGCCAAGCTGCATTCCTCCAAATTATTTCTTTTCCCCATACTATTCTCTTTCTTGCCTTAGGTGTTAAGATTATCTTAGAAGATACCACTTCCATAACACAATAAATTTATAGTAGAATACAAATTATTTTAGGACAGTATCTACTTGATGAATCTTATAGTTTAATCTAACAAACATTTATATAATAAATATATGTATATAGGTATATATAAGTATACCAGATACAATGATATTCACCAGAAATATCAACATGAAGATGGTCTGTCCCTGAGAAATTCACAGACTAATACAAACGGCTGCTTTCCTAGAAACAAAGACCCAAAAATCATGCTCTGAAGATGACTATCAGAACAATAATCTATATTTTTTTTCTTACTAAACCAGAAAAATATCTAGTCCCATTTTAAATTTATTACAATTGCTATGTAACAGTCAAAACTCATGTTATAGAACATGGCACTCTCCTATGCATCTCTCCTAAACCATATTTCCATCCTAAGTTTTTCTGTATAGAGTCAGGACTGAGGCATTATTATTCAGTCATAGCTTAAACTAAGTGCAATTAAAATGGCTTTACGCAGAAGAATAAAAATAAAAATAAAACACTTCAAAGAAGTTAAATGACTAAACCTAGGAAAACTTCTCTCTTCACACTAAAAATCTAAATAACAGACATGACACTTAGACAACAACAGTGGCACCAGCAAGTATCACACAAAGTTAATTCTTACTTTTCACTACCATACTATGAAAGTTACCATTTATTCCTAAGTATCAAAAAAGGAGAGTTCCAGGAGGGAGTTCATTGCACATTGTAGTCTAGTATATTCTATAATACTGTATAATCTTTTTTCTATAATGTTCTATATTATTTTTCTTTTCAATATTAAATATCTCAATAATTTAAATAGAAGATGTCAACTTCATATTAAAGACCAAAATGAGTCCCTTTCTTTTCTTCCCATTTTTCTACCTCTAATCTTAAGATATCCCATTACTCTTTCACCTCTATCAAATAACTAAGAAATTAAGAATACTAAATTTACTTATAACAATTTAATAAATACCTAAAAGATATAAGTAAGTATCTAAAAGTAACCTTTTATTTGTTACTTAAATTTTTGTTTTCGTTTTGAGAGAAGTCAAAGAGTAAGAAAAATAAACTAAAAGTATTTACAGAAAGGGCAGAAACTTAAAGACACCAAATCACAGATGTGATCCTAGAAAAACTAAGGCAAAAGTCCATAAAACAAAGAGTTAAAGCAAACAACACATTTCAAGTCAGACAACCATCAGGGATTTCAGTTGTACAGAATCTGTAATGACAAAATAGGCCACCTTTTAAAAATATGAGGCATCTATTTCTGGACTAATGTCAAAAAACGGCTACATCTACTGTCAATAAAGCAAAGGTACACAAGAGTGTGCAGTCTGCTACCATTTGTACTGGGAAGAAAATGAGGGATGTGTGCTTGTATGTGTATAAAAGGTCCCTGGCAGAAGACACATAAACCATGTAGCAGTAGTTGCTTGAGCAAAGAGGAACTGGGGGATAGAATAGTGAAGAAACTTACTTTTTGCTCTATATCCTTTTTCCCCCCACCTATAGGCACATAATACTTATTCCAAAAGAAAAATCTATTTAATTTACAAATCAAATAAAATTATATCAGAGATGAAGAAGAATTTGTAATTTAAAGCCAGGGAAAGAGTCAAAAACAAAAGCTGAAGACTAAGGCAAAGAGAAAAGGTTAAGACCGGTCAAATGGTATAATACATATGGGCTTGGTGGACCTTAAAAATGAGTCAACACCCTCCCCAGACAGAAACCTTTTATGAACTTCTAGCTTAAGTAGGAATTAATACCAGCTTATGGACAGCCCAGTGTAAGCAGAAGTTGAGACACTCAAAGATAACTGAATGAGCTTAAAGATAAAGGTAGCTATCCTAATACATTATTACTGCCCAACCTGACTTGGCCTCTGAAGGTTAACAAGAACAAAAACATGGACTTGCAAGTTCTATCTTCAAATATCTGCATAAGATATATAGCAACACCAGAAAAGTTGTTTAAATGCAATGTGTATAACCTAGTTATAATGGAAAGAGCCTAGAAAGAGATGGGTCACTGAGGATGTGCTTGGAAGTAGATTGGGACAGGGAGGAACTGACACTCCTAAGATTGGGAGGGATTTTAGTCCCTAAGTCATGTGGCCCAAACTTTAAGGTTTTAGTCAGCCTTGACTTAAATATCTTCGTACTAAATAAGAGGTACTTTAATAGAATTTAGGTTATCCAGATATGCAAGAGTTTACTACCTTGAGGAAATTAAACTTTCTTAGTTATGGGACACGATAAAGAAATAATCCTTTTTAAATCCCAAATTAGTTTCTCTGTGCCATTCAGTGCATTTCTACCTTTATCTTTAAGCATTGCCTATAAATTAAACTATTGGTTATTTATAGATTTAAAATTATAATATTTTCAGAATTTGCCTACATAAAAAATAAAAGGAAAATTTGCAGGGGACATTTCTTTTTTTAAAGAACACATTTCAAAAGATAAACATTCTTCACTATTCTATCCCCCAGTTCCTCTTTGCTCAAATGGCTTTGGAATGACACCATTTTAGCCCCTGATCTTTAGCTTGCATAGTAAAGTGTTGGCAAAAAGAAAATAGGTATAACCAGAGTACAATGAAAAAACAATTTCACCTTTAAATATTTATCATCTAAGATTAAAAACACATGGATTGAGTACAGAATATGGTTGAAAAGGCTTTTTTAAACAAGATAAAGCATTTATGAGTTAATCTAGTCAAACTTCTCAAATAACACTACAATAAGCTAAAGCAGTATAAAATAACCTTTAATAATAAATATTCCAAAAGAAAAAACCTTTGGCAAGAAATATTACTAAATAGGAAAAGTTATTAACCTCATTTCCATGGTATGAGAAAGAACAAAAAGAACTTTTATATTTGTTTAAAATTAGCAAAAATAAATCATTATTCTGTTATGCCAGATATAAATATCGTACAAAAATTTATTTATTAAACATACTGTATTTATTATAGCAGAATATGACTTGTAATTTATTTGATAACCAAGGACAATAATCAAAAGTCAAAAAAAATTTGAAAGAGGTTAACACCATCTAACATTTAATTCAGCAAAAATTTGTGGATACAGAATGCAAAAAGGCAAAAATCATAAGAACTATAGATGAAAAAGAAATGTGTCTTAGAAAGTCAAAGGAAACAATTTCATTTGATTAAGGGATAACCTATTTCTTAGAATTCTCAAGTAAAACAAATATATGTGGTTCTCCTTTACATTATAAAAACAAGCACCTCAAAAAAATTCTCATCAATAGTTACACATAAATTATCTGTTACTTTCAATTTCAGAATTATTTTAGGAAGATAGTAAGCTTTAAAATGATGACAAGAAAAATAAATAAATAAAATGATGACAAGATATTCTAAACCTTTAAGTGTCCACTAGTTAGTTGCCCATCAGTTGTGTCTATTTGCTTATTCTTGTTTGACTGAACAGTCTGTAATGTCAGAGAAACCAAATTTATAAAAACGTTGACAAGGGGATTATAAGAATCACAACAACCTAGGACATTACTGACAGCACAAGGGTGCTAATAATTCTCAATCATTTATATGTAGTAACATCTATTCTAAAGCATTGAATTGCAACTGTAAAAATATCTTTATTTTATAGCCAGTTCTTATAATAATCTAATAGAAACTGGAATGTCTTTTTTTCCCCTATCCTGTGCTCTATTAAAGATATTGAAAATACAGAAACTCCAGAATTTGGTAGGAGGTGAGTCACATAAATAGAGATGATAAGGTAATTAATCTAGAATAAATTGATATCTCAGACATTCAGAGTAATCTACTATACCAAAGCTTTTGAAGACCCAAAAAAATTTAATGCCTTTTGCAAATTTATAAATATGACAAAAGATAACAATGGATTTTTAAAAGGAAGCATTTTACCAGCAAAGACGCCACATAATACATTTCTTTAAACAAATCTATTTGAAAATCAATATATAGTATGTAGTATTGAAAAAGATTTTCTATATCAAGTCAATATTTATTCATTTGTTTTAACATTTAAAAATTCTATTAAAAAACTAATATATATATATATATATATCTTAATTTTTTTAAATTATGTCTAAGATTTCTAGATAGTTTTTAACTACTGTGTAAAGACTGAAAAATACATCCTAAAACATTCATACCTGATCGAAAGCATTCAATTATTTGCTGAATACCAGATTTGGATGTCTGTAGTGGTTGCTGTAACAAAGGAGGATCTCCAGGTTCCAGGATATAAACTACATGGAAGACAAACACCCACCCCAACCCCCACAAAAAAAGGGTTATTTAAGTGATTTACTATTGAAGTAAAACAATGGTTTTGCTACAATTATGTTAATGAAAATCACATTTGCATATATTTTTATATATACACAAGTATATAATTCACCACCATCTTTGTAAGGCAAAATGAAACAATGAACAGAAAAAGCAAATAATTCTCAAAGGCTAAATTAAGGCTACAAAAGGCTAGACATTAGGTTTAAATTACAGAATCATTTTGTACACATGCTATACATTTGCCTTTTTATTCCCATTAAAGAAGAGTCACTACGTTTAGTAAAAATTATAAGGCTAGCTACACCCAATTAGCCATTCCAAAAGTCTTTGGATAATCTGGTATATCTCTCTGGACAATTATAAGAGCAAAACTAAAAACCTACTAAGAAGTAACTGAACAAGTGCACAATGATGGATTTACAAGAAAGTTTTCACCTGAAGTACTCTACAACACTGTATAAAATAAAGAGAAATTTCAAGCAACTTTTTAAAAAGTCTCTCAGTAGGCACCAGATGAAACTATGAAACATTCATACAACAGAATCTCTCACAACTATTGAAAGCATGAGCTTAATCTACATGTACTGACATCAAAGGACGTCAATAATTATTAAGCAACAAAAATGACATAGACTATGACCCCACTTACATTAAAACATTTAAATATACAGAAAAACATAAGTTCAATATATATTTATGTGTATATAGAAGCTAATATAAAAACAGTCTTGAAGAGATACCAACAAAATTTAGCAAAACTCCTGTCAGTGTTGGCTTATAGGAATGATGTTCCCTTTCTGCCTCACACATCACTATTACTTCAGAGCCTGAGCTTTTAGAAGTGTACATTTTAGAAGCAACAAAATTTTTATATAATTTTTCCATTTTAAGATAAAAATTCTCATTTTTATATATTACCTGTACTTTCTAAGATTCTTGGATTAGTAGTATAAATACATAATTACTCATGGTAATATCAATCAAGGTAGCTGAAAAGGAAAACTGACTTTTTCCATCAGTTATCAAACAAAGAGAGAGGCTGTGGTAGAGAAAGGTGAACCATTTTAATTATCTCTTTTTAAAACATGGTAAAGTGTTCTACTCAAGTATTACCACCATAACCCAAGATCATTGCTTGGTATGGGGAAATAAAAAGGATAACTTCAATAATTTGTGCTGCCACTGCTTCAGGGCTTTGGCTTGGATAAGCAATTAGCTTTTGACAAAGGGACTGATGCCTGCTGTGCTATGCATATAGAAGCAGCCTTAGATGCATCAAATCAAGTGCTCAGTGTACACAGACAGAGGAACTATGGTTGCAGGACCAAATCATTTCATTAAGCAAAATTTTCCCAATTTTAAGAGAAACTTTAGGAGTGTTTTAAGTGAATTAAAAATATATACACACGTAACTCATTTTGAGAACATATGACATTGGCAAAACTGCAATGATAAAGAACCTAATACTACACATCTGGACTGCCTGCATTTTCATTTTCATTCTATTTATTAGATATAACTGGAACAAATAAACTCTCTGAATTCTTTCACTTCTCTAAAATGGGGACAATAAAAGCATCTAAATCATAGGATGTGTCAAAATTAAATAAGCTAGTGCAAGAAAACTGCTTAAAACAGAGGCTGGATTATAGTAAGTGCTCAATAAACATTCTATTATCTTCATGATGTACAAATCAACAGCTAGCCTGACACCAAAAACTGAAAAGTCTTTTTACAAAATCCAAGTAGAAATCAATCTCTTAGACAGTCTATTAGCAGATTGATAATACTGTTTATTTGAATTCAGTGGTTCTCTTTTCAGTGTCTGTTCATCATAGCAATTTATAACTGTTTATAAAATAGAATAATTAACTACAAAAGAAAGGGTGAAACCCCTTCCAACGTAAAAAAAAAAAAAAAAATCAGTTCAAGGTCTGCTTTATAGGATTCAAGAAATCTAGTATTAGAGAATGAAAAAATAAATAAGGTAGGGACATTGGAGGGGGAGTGGTGATGACAAGAGACTTCACCCTGCAGCCCCTTTCCTCATTCAGGTACATGCTCCAGAAAATCACCTATAATACACCAACTCCCAGTTCCACATGACAATACCTAATTTTAAAGCTAGAACAAAGTTTCCTACCCATCTCCCTCAGATCACTGATACCACCAGAACACATATTCATCCTGAGACAACATTTAAAAGTAAGCTAGGGTTAACCTAGCTCTGCCTGAATGTATCCATATCTGTAGAGCTCCCACTATAAAGAACAATTCTTTCTTCATTTGAAAAAACACTCTCAACTCTAGAAAACTTTATAGATTAATACTCTATAAATCTCCTCTTAAATGTCCTATCATTCTTCCCATGATCAGGCCCATCCACGTTATGACCATTTAAACAAAAGAAAAAAGAAAAAAACTGCCTCCAACCAAAAAACCAAACTCTCAGAGCCATCTTTTCAGACAGCTTGCCAAGAACAAACTCCCCAGAATATAACATCCATTTTTGCCTTCTATATTAAAATGTTCCTTAAAGATCATTCTAATTATGATGTCTGGGATTTGCTTACAAATAATAGGGTTTGGGGAAGTAGTTGGAAGGTAGAGAAAGGCATTGTGAATATAGAAGAAAAGAGATTGTCTGGATATTGATAATTGATGGAGTTAATTATTACATCAGATTCCTTAAAATATTCTATTTTGAAGTTTTTAAATTTCTATTTTAAAAAATTCTTAAAACATAACTAAGAAAATATTTCACATACACTGACAGGCTTATAATACCACTCACTCTTCACTATAAATTGACCCATCCCATCAAGGCACAATGATCACAGGAATATTGCTCTCATCTGAGGAGTCACCCAGTATTCATAATCCAAATGAGGACAGACTGCTCAAGAGAGCCAATTAAAGAATTTCTCAAACATCATGTCATCTACTTTCCTCCAACTGAGGACATCCCTTTAAACATTATCACACCATAACAAATTTCTTTCAATCCTGGAAACATCCTCCCATTTAGCAAACACTTTCCCCTGAAAAAAAATAATAATGAACTACTCTGTTAAGTAAACAAACTTCTAGCTTTCCGTTGAACTAAATCCTCAAAAAGTATTTGATTCTAGCTAAGAAAGCAAAGAAATAATAACTACTTTTAATCTCATAAGTCTGAGTATTAACCTACACGGAAAAGTTTCTGGGAGAAGAAAAATAAAATTTTAAAGTAGTACAATTTTTCTAATTTCCTGTCAACAGAAGACAAAAAAGCAAAAATACTTCAGTATACATTAAAAAAGTTCTATTTCAGAAAACATTTTTTATGTTTAAAAAACATTAAAAAACATTTTTATAATTAAAATTCTCTAGTAAACATCAATTACTAGAATATATTAAAGGCATGTTAACAAATTATCTTATTTACATCCATCTCTTTCGACGCAAAAGTTCTATGAGGAGCCCAGCAGTGGCATATGCCCATAATCCCAGCTCTCAGGAGGCTGAGGCAGGACAATCACAAGTTCGAGCCAGTCTGGGCAAAAAACATACTGAAATTCTGTCTCAAAATAAAATAAAAAGGTCTGGGATATGATTCAGTGATAGAGTTCTGGCATGCAAGGGCCTGGCTTCAATCCCAGTACTAGAAAAAAAAAATTTATGAAGGAAAGACCTTATATCTTATTCACCATTTATACCCTCATTGCACTGGAAAGCACCTGACACTTAATAGGTGTTCAACAATAACTGGTTAAAAAAATAAATGAGCAAACACCGGGCTGGGGTATAGCTCAGTGATAGAGTACTTGCCTATCATGTGTGAGGCACTGGGTTTGATTCTCAGATTCTTTATTTAATTAAGGTAGTTAAATAAAAATAAAGGTCTACTGAACATGCAAACACTTCTTCCTAAATAAGATAATTTCATTAATTTAACTCAAATGAATTGAAGTGTTCTCAGAAACAAACTAGAATACAAGGTCAGTGGAATATAGTATAAAAGGCATTCACATTCTAAACTTTAAAACTAGCAAACACCATTCAACTCCATAAAACATAAGCAATGTAGCCTCAAATACAAAAAACATGCAGTGTGAAAGGGTATGGAAAGTTAGGTCAGGGACAGTTGATCACATCATAGGATTGACTACTTTATTCTAACAGGTGAATTATTACTGATCTCAACAAAGTGAAGTAGACATAAGGCCACAGTACAAATTTTATTCTCATGTGTAGTCAATTTCTTGGAAATGGAAGCTCTTTCCCTTTAGCATTGCTGTTTTTCCCCATCATGAAATTAGTTAAAAATGAATTTATTGTGATGACACTCAGTACATAAGTGCAATCACTCCAATAAAAAAAGCAAACAAAAGTTAAAAAAAAAAAATCTAGTAACTTCTAAGTTCAAAATGATAACACCTGCCTTTGAACTAGAAGAGAGTCATCTTTATTTGGTTTAGTGACAGTATATACTTGATTTCCTTTTAAGCTGCACCTCTAAATGTCACAAAGCACATCAAAGTTCTAACTAGAAGAACTGACAATGGTTTTTATACCACATCTATCGAATTAAAGTTTGTTAAATCTTCACAAGACTCCAAAAACCTTTCATTTCATAAATTAAACTAATAGTTTTGTCCTAACAAAACCTGATTCTCTCAGCAAGTTCAACCATCTTTAACCCAACTACACTCATTTTTTGACTATTCTTTAATCAAAATGCATGAGAATGCATTTAAGTTTAAATGAAACAATTTTCACAAAGATACATGCTAGTATTCTACTACTATCTTTTCCTATCTCTTCAGTTTTAAACACTCAGAGCATAGGGGTACGCTGCTGACTGCAGACTGCCTTCAAAAAGCAGAAAAAGAACTGAGTGATTGATCTTGTGGAAATGATTGAAGGTGACACTTGCAGTACTTTCTTTAAGAGATCAAGCAGGGGTGACCTCTTGTTTGTACAAGCTTTTAGCTTCATAACTGTTTTTTTTTTTTTTTTTTTGCTGGGGAAAATTATAGCCTATTTTACTTAAGAATGATTTCTTGGGCAATAGGCAAAGAAAACCAGAAGGAACCAAAAGGCAAAGTGACTCTGATGGAGGGCAAAGTCATTGGGGGGAAAAAGGGACATACCTGGTTCACAGCATCCGTGATGATGGTGGTCAGTTTGACAGTATTTATCCCTCAAAGGCATTTTCAGTGGGTGCGACCTACTTTCCTTTCACTGCAAGAAGCTCTTCATTGCGGCTGGGCTGTAGAAAGAGACACAAACCCGTCACTGACTCTGAACTTCCTGGGGGCTCTGACTGCATTTCCACATATGTTCCCATCACAGCTTGCCCTCCAATGACCCACACCTTCTTCTCGAAAAGGAAGCGGACCGACAAACGAACCAGTCTCCAGCCCGAAGTATCGGCACAGGTTCATCACCCTACCCGGAAACGCAGCCTCGCGCGCGCAGCGCGGCGCAAGGAGAAGGCCTGGCCGGCTGCGCGGGCGGCAGCGGCCTCGCAGTCCTAGGCGGGCGGGCGCGCGCGGAGAGGGTGGCGCGGGGCGCGGCGGACCTTGCCGGGCTCCTAGGCTGCCGAGGTACGACTCCCGCCGGAGGCCGGTCCTCGCCGCCCCCTCCCGCCACGCACGTGCATTGGGGTCTCCCTGGCGCAGCCCCGGTGCCCAAACCAAGTGCGCCCAACTTACTTAACTCCTGGGGCGGGCCGGCGGCCAGGCGGAAAGAAGGTAGGGAGGCCGGGCGGCTGCGGGGACAGCCTGGCGGGGAGGCGGCTGCGGGCCCCACCTGGCGCAGTCGCCGCGGACCACGCCGAGGGGAAGCGGGGTTCGGGCCGACGCGCTCCCAAAGAGTCCCCGCCGGCGCTGACGCGGAAGCGCCACAGCTCACCACGTCCCTCCGCTGGCCGAGGAGGCGGCGGCGGCTCACGGCGTCCCTCCGCGTTGTGGGGCCGAAGGACTGGCGGCGCGCGGGCGCGGGCAGTTGACAGGAGGAACCGCCCGGCAGCAGCGCCGCGGCCACTACCAAAGGAGCCGGAACCGGAGTGGGCAAGATCCGAAGCGCCCCTTGCCGGGGAAACGGCTGCCGCCGCAGCCCGGCTCCCTTCAGCGCCGCTCCACCTGCAACGGTCCCTCAGGCTTTTGGAGAGGGGCGGGGAAGGATGGGGGTTACCCCCACCTTGGGCCTTTCTGGTAGCAGTTGTTTCAGGAAACTTTATTAAGTTGGTCTCTCTTTTTCTCTGTCTCCCCCTCCCCGGAGAGCCCGAACTACCGCCGCGGAGCGGGCTGGAGGGGGAAGCAGAGACTCTTCGGCAGCGACGGAGAGCGACTGACTGACCCCGGACGGAGATGGGGCGAGGGCAGGAAGTGACAAGCTCACGGAGTGGGTGGGGGGAGTGTGGCCGGCACGCCCGGCAGCGCCGCGCGCATGCGCCCGGTCGGCGCCCCCGCCTGTGGGGAGGTGTCACGCCTCCCGCCCGGGCCGGGCTACCGGGAGGAGGCCGTGCGGGTGGCGCTGGGGCAGCGGCCGGGATGTCCGGCCGGCTGGCATCTCGCGCGCGCGCGTACGCATCATCCCGCCGGCGGACCCAGAGCCGAAGTCCCGCTTTGCGCGCACCGGGAGGTGTGAGGCCCGCGGTGGCAGTTCGCGCCGCGCTGGGGTTTGGGTTGCTATGCCAAACTGTTGCTTTCGCCGAGCTTCTTTAAGAGGAACCGACCCCGAGAGGGTTGGGAAAACACTACAAGAAAACTTTAGGAAAGGGGTTGCAGATAATGTGAGCTGTGGATGGTGGTGATCCAAAAAGGCTATTCGTGCGTCTATAAATGGCAAAAATCGAACTTTGCGTTTTTTTCCCTAGCCAACAGTTTTGAAACTCTGCGTCCTGGAACTTGGGAGGGGAGGGGATCTTCATCAGGTTATCAGGGGAGAAACAGTCTATGGGCAGTAGATCGGTATTTATTCCAGGAGCGCTCTGTTGTTAAAATCACAAAGTGAAGTTGGGTCACGTGGGTAGTACTCACTTTCCCTCCTCTTCAGTGGTGCCCAAATCCTGCTCGGAAAATCTCCGATGATCGCCATCGTCTGTCAAATCTGCAAACCCAAGGCTGCTTCAGGGGAGCTAAGGAAGCCCCTCTGCCTCCTCCCCAACTCTGAGAACGAAACTTTTGCCTTTGATAACTTAGAGCAAATATGTGTCCACTGACGGGTAACTTTAAGGAGAAAAAAGAGCGTCTGCCTAGTTTATCACCCCCCTTACCAATATCACTAAAACCTTCGCAGTTATCTAATTTAAGCTGCCAGTTTTCAGGGGCCTGAAAAAGTAAAGTTTAGTATACAGGCTCTGTGTGTCTGGGAAGAAAAAGAAAGGAAAAAAAAGACCAAAATACGTTTTCAAAATCCAAAAGAAAGCTTGTAAATTGATGAATTTGCTGCTGTAAAAATGTCGGGTGGAACATTTGTGTCTTTCAGAATTGTAGCAGTTTGATTATGGGGGTACCAGAAAGGAGTAGAAAAATAATCTAGATACACATTAACCAGCCACATAAGTAGTGTTTATGCTATATTTATCTGTCCCGTGGTCAAGACGCATCACCCATTACCTGTCACAGATTATAAAGTGATTTGCAATAAATTATATCATTTCTATGTGATGGTGTTATGCAGCCATTATAACATTTTGTCTAATAGTTGAATAGAATATGCTTAGCTATAAAAATGAGTATTTTTTGAAATGTGACACCTTAACAGTGGAATTACATGTGACTTATTTTCTTTATGCTTTTCTATGCTTTGCAAAATTTCTAATTAAACATAAAAAAAACCTTGAGCAAAAAAAAAAAGTTAAAAGTCAATTAGGCTGTACTGTGAAATGGTATAGAATAATAATAAAGCACAACCATAAGAACAAAACTAAATATACATTATGAGTGACACTATGCCATAAAAACTGAAATGAAACAAAACTAATATTTGAGGTATTTGAATGGTAAAATTGGAGGCATATAATCATTTCCAGAAGATCTTTTCCTACTTTTGCATAAGGATATTGTTACAGATTAGAAAATGAATATTTTCTAATTTATGGGAGTTTGGACTTGGAAAATGAATATTCCCATAAACCTGAAAAGACTTTATGTCAGATATGTAAGAGTTATAAATGTTTGCTGACTGGATTTGGAGTTTTTTTTCTAATGTAAATATATGCTGTGTCATACATAACATTAAAGTTCAAAGTGGTCATTACTAGAAGTCCTCAGAATTGCTTGCTAACATAACTTTCGGACAATCTCTTAAAAATTAGAGACAAGATTGAAATGTGCCTGTGGGTGAAACAAATATTAAACACTGATTCAAAGAATTTAAAAGATGAAAATAAATCATGGAACTTATCAAGTAACCCTCATTTTAAAGCTGAGAAAACAGACCCAGAGAATATATTGATGTGCTGAAAGTTGTAACAGAACTGGGTTTGGGACCTAGTTAGTGCTCTACTGTAATGACAGTAGTAATATCTGAAGTGTACTGAATAGTTTATATGTTTTAAGCTCTGGTTTTAATTCAGTTAACTTTATAAATCCAATGCATTTTGTTATCCTTCCATTCTACAGTGAGGAAACTGATATAAGAGATTAGATAATTTATCAAGGCTGATAGGCTGTTAAGCCAGCATTTGAACCGGAGCATCTTGGCTTTGGAACCTGCTAACTTAACTTATGCTGTATTCCTTCACTGTGTTACTTTTACTAAACCATACCTGTTTCATATGCATATATATGTATCTGTGTGTGTATACACACATGTATATGTGTGTATATAATTGCTGCATAAAAAAATCACCCATGATTAGTGACTGTTTGGGATTACATTGTATGTGAAAGATAAACCAGTGGAGCCTGCCAATAGTGAAAGGCAATATATATTAAAATACTATGTGCCAAGCTCAAGAAGTAGAAATTGGGTTGCTCAGTCATAAGAATTCAGTTGAATTTCGCAGGATTCTAGAGTTTAAGGGGCCTTAGGACGTCATCTAGACTTATCACCCTGCCTCTGAGAAGGTGTACAAACCATCCCAGAAAAATCTGCCTTCCTATTTGTTCATTGTTCACTGCAGTAACCTACATTAACACATTATTATAGCATTACGTTTTGATCCTTAAAAGTCTGGAATTAGTTCCTAATGATTAACCCTAAGTCTACTTTAAGTATAAAAAGTAATTGTCTCTTATTCTCAAGGTGAGAGAACACTATCCTCAATACACACTCATGCATATATATCTGTGTGTGTATATGTAATTGCTGCATAACAAACCACCCATAATTAGTGATTTAAAGCCTTTGAATGTGCTCTCAATTCTTAGATCAGTAATTTGGACTAGCCTTGTCTGGAGTCACGCAGCTGCTGGAGTCATCTGGTAGCTTGACTGGGTACAGTCATGGCTGGCAGCTGGTGTTGACTGTTGACTGGAACTCTCCCTTTGTAGCCTTTCATCTTCAAGGAGAATAGTCTGGGCTTCCTCATGTGGCAGCAAGCCAAGCTAGTAGAGTGGAAGCTGCATGACCTCTTGAGGTTCTGAGCTTGGCAGTTACATGACATCATGTCCACCCCATGCTCTTCGTCAAAGGAGGTAAAAAGACAGCCAGAGATTCGGAAACTGGAGAGAGAGACTCCTCCCTCTTGATGAGAAAAGCAGCAAAGTCACATTCAAAGGAGTACACATTCAGGAATGGAAGGAGCTATTGTAATGAACTTTGCATATAATTTATCACAATATATAATTACCTCAAGAATGATAACTTATTAGAACTGATTTGTTTAGTATGCCTTCAGGAACAACAAAACAAATACTAGTCAAATATGTTCTTTAGATTGACATTGGGTCAATTTAGTGACCTTCTGAAGATAAACTTTGGTGATTCTTTAACTTTCCTCACTGGTCTTGTTTTTCTCATCATTACTTTCTTTTAGATCCATTCTTAGTTTCCCATCTGTTCTAAACAGATCCTATTACAACAGAGTAACAATCCAGCATCAAGGAGAACCAATCATAGTTCTTACAGGATCTATATACTCTTGCTAGCTTTGATTATAAAGTGACATTTTACAATACGTAAGTAAATCTATAATTAGGTACAAATCTAAGCACAGCCCACAGTAGAGACTGAGCATTTAGAAAGAGCCATATACAAATTGATTTAGGAGAACATATATTAAACTGTCAATGTTTTTAGTTATGTAGAATTTAATATGTAAGTACAAATAAGATGAAAAAAAGAAGATAATACTTTCCCCAAAATGCTTATTTTAAGGAAGAAAAAGAGTAGATTATAACTGGGTGTGTTCTGGTTTAGACATGTCATCCAAAAGCTCATGTGTGATACAATACAAAAAAGTTCAGAGGTGAAATGATGAGGTTATGAGAGTATTAACCTAATCAGTGCATTAACCCCCTGACAGAGATTAACTGGGCAGCAAGTAGGCAGGTAGGATGTGACTGGAGGAGATGAGTTATTGGGGGTGTGCCTTTGGGGTCCATATTTTGTCTCTGATGAGCAGAGCTTGCTCTCTGCTTCCTGGTGTAATATTCCCAGCTGCTTTTCTCTGCCAAACCCTCCACCATCATGGTCTTTCTCTCCTCCATCCCAGAGCAATGGAATCCACTATGTAATATGGACTGAGACCTCTAAAACCATGAGCCCTCAAATGAACTTTTCGTCCTCTAAAATTTTCTTGTTGGGACTTTTGGTTACAGCAGCTAAATATTGACTAAAACAGGGTGTCTGCCCTGGAGATAAAGTGCCCACTGGAAACCCCCTGATAATGGCCCTGTATACTCCATTCATGGTACTAAAGGTACTCTTAAGCCCTGCTGGCCAGGTGACACCATGATGCATGGATGCTCCATGCTGTTTTGTGGGCACCAAACTATACCTTACCGGTATTTCATTCTAATGTATTTCATAAAGCATTTAAGTGAATTCCACAAAAAATTACTTTTTATAGTAGAGTTTTTTTCATAAGTAATTCTGCAATGTAATTTAATATTAGCTAATGATAAATCTGTCACTGATTTCAGACATATTAAGAACTATATATTTTTCATCAAACTTATATGAAGATCCTGGGTTGGATGTATTATATTTCACAAACAAGAAAACCATGTCTGAGTTAAGATTTAACCCTACATCTGAGTTCAGAACCTGTGCAGCAAGTTACATATACTGTGATGATTTCTAAAATTTTATCTCCAGCTCAGATCTCTCCCTGGAGCCTCTAAGTTATATTTCTAACTACCCATGAGACAGACCATCTGAATATCCTAGGCATCTTAAAATAAGCAGGACCAAAACTGAATTTATCTTTTC